TTTCATGCATTTACTATGTACTTCCTATGCCTGCTATAGTCAACTATTGACTTTGGAGCAATGCACATGTTCAACCAGATGGCCAGCCCATTTCTGAATAACAATACAACTACATGTCTTATGAATTTAGTGTCCATACAGCCATAGCCAGAAAGCAGAGACTAGGTTTACATTGTGGGAGGGTGTAAAAATTGCTCACAAGACAAAAAATAACCAGAATCCAAAATAAGGACTGTAGTTATTTAATACAAAAGGTGATCCTCCTTCAAGAGGGTGACCAACCACAGCAGCAAGCAGCGCTAGACAGCTTTTTTATTTATTGAATTTCTGCCCATCATATGCATACTAACAACTTCTTTTTCATGAACTCAAAGAATGAGTTACAAAGGGGATGTTCCCTTGCTAGGAAAGGGAGGTTACTTCTAGAGCTTGACACATGCTGTCATACCACTTCGTCATAAGTAACAGTAGTGACAGGAACAACATTGACAAGATCATAGTAGAGAAGCAGGTAGATTGACTATCTGGCAACAGATTATTAAGCTCAAGACTGTAAAAAGCCTTTGATCCTATGAGCATCGGTCCCTTCGCCCCATGTCTGGAAATGAGTCCCCCGCTTAAAACCACTTGTAGTGTGGGCATTTGCATTTGTCATTTACTAACCGTCTAGATAAACTAAGACTCTCTATTCTATACTTGTACACGAAGGCCTCTTTCAACCTGGGATACGAAAAACTGGTACGGGCTGAGAAAAGAGTGGGTCATGAAATGAAACTCACGGTCACCCACGTCGTCCACTTCAAACTCGTCCATGTTGTCGATATTCAAAACCTCACTCATTGTGACAAGCTCTTGCCCCTAAGAATCCGCAGAACGAAAATTGAGACAATGGAAGCGAGCGGTTTGTCACGGAGAACGCGAACTGCAAGGCGCCACACTTCTGCCAGTGTTGTCCACATCGATGCGACCCGTTCAAGCGAACAGGCTAAAAAAAGATGGGGACTGGCAAATTCATTCGATAAGTAAACATATATTTGACTCAAATTTAACTGCCTAATTAATGGTAACTTTTAAGAGGGAAATGCTCTAAATTTGCTTGCATTTTAAGTTGGAATTTCAATTATTTCTTGCGTATCATGAGTCATACGTTCACACCATTTATCCAGTAGTCCCGACGTCATTACAGTCATGGCAGCATCCAGTATTTGGATGGTGAAGTCGGAGTCGAGATGTGCAATGTTATTAACGTCACTTAGACTTCTATAACTGAATTCTGACGAGCGCAGTAGAGAATTATGTTAACTTATTGCATCCTTCATGCAGCATTCAAGTGAATATCTGCTGGACCCATTCAGAAAATGTCAGTTGGGAACGGTAGTAGACTAAATGCGATGTGGAACGGGGCTGGTGCGCGTCAAGCTGGACTATATTTGGTCAGAAATGCGTACAAATTGATTCAAGTATTAATTTTCAATGTCAAGCGAAGAGCTATTGGTTCGTATATCGTATCGTGTGGTCGAAAATTGAGGAGTGATAAATATAACTGACTTGTGTCGATCATTCACCCCACCATTTGACCCCAGCTGGAATATTGCATCCAGTTTTGGAGGCCTACTCCTCTTGATATCACTAACTCTCCTGACTCCTGACTCCTGATTCATCTTTCTCCGACGTTTCATTCCCCATAATCCGGAATGAATTAGGCCTACCGTAGGACATGTTGGCCCATGTTCACTATGGGAGACTCGTGTGGGAGGTGACGCACCTCCTAAAAGAGGGAGTGCATGGAGCACTTGGTAACCATCCCCCTTATCAATATGCATTCACTTAAAGGCAATAACCTTCATGAATAATCTCCAATATTTGCTTTGGCTAGCTTGACGTACTGAAACATGCATGTGACAGTGTGGTGTAACGAGAGAGAAGAAAGTCCTTAATTCAGACATAGCTACTGTTCTTTTGAAATTACTAAGCAGAAACACATGAGAACGTATGACTCCATTAACTAATGGAGCACAGATAAGGGGAAGAGACTGCAGTGTTAATGATGGGTTTTTGGCACCAGATATAAGATAGTTTGTGGAATCATGAAAGGTATGGAAAGAAGATCATATACAAAATTAGGCTGGGGTTAAAATAGTTGCCTTCTTGTATCGTTCCCAGGATAGAAATTGGAGTGGGAGGGACAGGGACACAAGACATATTCCCTGTATTGCAACATCACTAACCTGCCCACTTGTGCAGGGTTAAGGAACATAATAAACAGCATCTGGTGTAATGAATAGTATATGCTTCAGTCAATTTTTTACTTGGGCTTGAAAATCCATGCAAAGGATGTTCCTCATTCAAAAGTGTCCCACTCAAATGGAAAAATGTCTGAACCAAGTGAAACACTAAATTATATTCCTCATGCTATGTATTCATGTGTATTTGACTTGAGTGCAGTTGTGCTTGGCCAAAAAGTTCTAGAGGCAAGCTGTGAACACTGGACCAGGTCTAATGTTAGGTCTAAGTTATATATAGGATTAAAGCTTGACCTCTTTTTTTTGTCCCATCCAGTTTGCTATCCTCAGTTTCAAAATACATTCATAATTAAGACATATTAAGTAACAATTGCAGAACCAGATTTGGCATAAGCTTGGCAATTTTTCTGTTTAGAATGATAGGCATCAGTCAAAAGTCCACCAACTCCCAAAAAATTGAGGGTAAGAAGGAATAGGTTATAAAGCATACTACTCCTGTGCAAACATCATGGCATTGCCCTCTATTGATGGCAAGTACTAGGTTTTTTTTAACCTACATTTATGACAGTTGACCAGTTGACAAGGTTGTCAAGAGTTGGTGCGACAAATAGGTTCATGTCATGATCATAGGAAGGGACTTGTAGGTTTGGTCCTGGTTCATGCAGGATGACATTGATCGTGGAGATGAAGATGGGAAAGGGGCATTGACATGGTGTAATGTCTGGCCCACAAAGGTGCCAGGGTGTGTAATAATTTTCTAGTGGCTTGCTTCTTATTAAAGGTCCATCTAACTTGGGAGTGGCTAAACTTCCTGACCTTACGAGCCGCATAACAAAATTTTCATTTGAAATGCAGCATTATTAATATCCATGTAACATTTAGACACCTATTCAGCAAGTTTTAATATAAACAGTGTCTGCATATAGGCCTATATCACCTTCCTGATTCTACAGACATACATGCAAGTACAGATCACTTAAGGAATCAGAAAAGGTTCAGATCCAAGCAAATGTAGTGAAAGCTCAAATCCTCAAATGAGAGAGATGTCCTTTGTTTTCTAGACTGCATTTATATCACACATAACAGGATGCATCTCTCCAGGTATGACTGATATTGATACTTGCAGGAATTTGTGGGAAAATGCTAATCATTCTCATAAAATCATTTTTGCTTAAGGTCCACATAAGTTAAGACAGCTCACTCTCGACCAATTCTAGCAACATCTGGCGTTGTTGCATCCCTAATGAATTATATGTGTAAGCCTGTCAGTCAAAATATTTGGTTTATGCTATCACTTGATATTGATTCTTTCTTTAAAAAGTTTTCCTATTTATAACATCTTTCCCTGAAAATTTATACCAGCCTTGGTTTTCAGTTGCACGGAAAAAGCCTACAGCCAGCAACTGTGAAAATCTACTCTGATCCAGATAATTCAGTCAGGACGAGCAAAATAATGTCTGAGGAACATCCAGAAATGAGCAATGCTCCTGATGATGAAAGGGAACCTCCAGAAGGGTCCAGTGATGGGGATGAACCCTCAAAGGGACCAACATCAGACCCTCCTCAGGTATGAGCCTATCCTATCTATGAAGTGTTATTCCAAAGAATTTGGCCCCCTCCAGCTTCATTGAAACATTTTTTGTTACATTTAAAACAGAATAACCTATTAAAATCATCAATCTTACTAATACCTGTTTTTTTAATAGCTTACAGAAAGGGATATTGAGAAAATGGAGGAGGAAAAGCTGAAGGCCAGATACCCACAATCTGTGAAGCCAGCTGCTGGGCATTCCATGTTCTTGCAGAAACGACTCACAAAGGGGGTGAGTGAAGCTCATAGATAACATTTTCAGAATGTTCACCTTCATGGTTCATACATTAGCGTCCTTCCACCTGTAGCAAAAATTCTTCGACTCTGGAGATTATCAGATGTACAAGCAGCAGGGGAAGTTGGGATTCAACAAGCTACGTGGAGCAGGCCTGAACCAAACTATGGCACAGCCCACAGGGGAGGCCATCCCAACTCCCGAGACTGTACCTGCCCGCAAGGCCTCCATCATCCAGCACACAAAGTTTAATCCAGTCACCTCAACATGAGCATGTCATCTTTTGTGATGTCGAAGGACCTTCTCTATCTCCCGTTTCTGCAATTGATGGACTTTTTCTTTGGATGATCCCAATCATTGTAGATATGGCCGTTTGGGCAGTCCTGTTTGTTTCATCGTGATGTGTTCCACGAATCCATTCTTTATGATTGTCAATGTCTGATAGGTTTGACTTGGTAGCTCTGGTTTCATTTACATGTACCTTGTATTGTAGGATGGATTTTCAAAGCCTGAGTGGGCAGTATAGACATGCCTATCGAGTGTCCTGTGGAGTGTATATCTCTCATTTTGGGCTTTGGAATTTGGTGGTAGACTTAGATGTATTTCTTCACTAGCTAGGCTTCATTCAAAAAATGTTTTACAACTGCAGTTTTGTAACTACCTTTGTAACAGCTGATTTGAAGAAGATTGGGTCCATTGGTTGAGGTTGCATTTGGGAGATAAAAATCCATTCAGTTTTAGAACAAGACTGTTTTGATACCATGGCAATGCTACCATAAGTACTTCTTCCATGTTGATATGGTAAATTAATTGAAGATTATAAAGAATGTGGCATATGGATTGATCTAATTTGCCAGTCAAGATTGAACTCGAGTATTTTTTAAGAATGGGTAGGACTCTCCCTTCATCATGAAGGCTTTGTGAATTTACAATCACTACTGCCCCCTTTGAATTTTGTGAAATTATCCTCCACTTATTGGGCATGCATCAAATCATCTTGATCTTCTGCCATGGTCCATATCTCTGTTGCTGATTACAAATAAAGTTTGCATCCAGGAACTCTGTCACCCCATATAGGTGTGCTAATATGGAGTGTTGCAGATGGGAGATTCATTAATGGTTGTTACTTTTCATGGTACAGTTTCTTCAGTCCTCTCCCTGGTGAGGCAGAGTGTCATGTAACTTTCCCCTGTACCCCCTGTGATAAAGAAGAAAAGCAAAGCTACTCATTCTTGTACTTCGCATCTGGCATCTCTTCATGAAGGCAGTTCCTGAATAAATGTGCCATGCACAAATATTTTTTGAATCTTTTTCATAAGACTGAGCACACCCTCTTGTACAATAACAATTTATTACCATGCCATGCATGGGGAATTATTAATCTCATAAATTCCATTGAAGCACATTGAATAAATACTGAAATTATAGGAGATTGCTACATCTGCTAGCTGCCACATTCAAAATTGGTCGAGAGCAGCCTGATTTTTTACAGTTCCAGTACAAATAGGGATTTCTTGAAAAAGTTTTAAAACTTTTTCCTACTGTGATGTGTGGAGACTTGCAATGTCTCTGGAAGCCTGGACAGAACATAGCAGAATATTGTTTGCATTGGGATTGACAGGATTAAGATGCAAGTCTGTTTAAACAAGGGGATTAATTCTTTTCTTGCCTTAAGACTTTCACTTGAAACTATCAATCAGCGTCTCTTTCTCTTATCTCTCACAGTTTGCCATAGTGAAAATTTTGCTTATACAGAACAGATTCACACTAGGACAATGGAAGTATAGAGCATAGCTCATATATGTGATGTACTACAATTACTGAGGGACACAGTGAGGGGGACGAGTCAGTGATGGAAAAGAAAGTTGAGATCACTTATGCTCACAGGGCAATGACAAATTTCAAATTGAAAACACTTCTTCCTGGACTAGGACTGGAGAAAGTTGACTATGTAGAGGGTGTTATGCATGAGAAGCTGACAAAGGAATTGGATCTAGAGCAAAACACATTCAAGGCACTAAAGTAATGACAGCAATTGTGAAGGAAGCAGAATGTAAGACAGCAGAAAGAAGTCAAATTATCTAGGTCTGCATGGGGAAAATGGTAATAAAAAAAAATACTTTTATGATGTTCCACAAAGTTTAAGAATACCACAGAGTTACCTTAGTAAGGTAACAGAAGACGAAGTGCCAGCGTGCCTTGAAGCCCTTCACATAAAAATGAAAGCAACAAATGAGATTACTTTCTACAACTAACAGGAGAGTTACAAAAACGTCTGCCATTTTTTCTGTACTAAAACCTGCTCATGTTCCTTGCTTTCCCATGAAATCCCTCACAGATTCAAGCACAATGATCCATCACAGGGGTAACCAATGACATTGCACCAAAGTTTCAATCACATCACACTGAAAAGCACAGGATTAGGTAAGAGATATGGAGATCACAGAGGTAAGGAGAGAAACAAAGAATAATTTGTGATCCTAAACATGAAAGGATGATGCTAGGAACGACTGCTGCCCTTGTTGCTGAAGTTGGCTTCAATTTTTTGACAGATCTCATTGGTGTACTCTGAACATTTGGCTGACCCACCAAGATCTCCTGTGATGCACTTACGCTCACGAATTGTCTCAAAGCAGGCTTTCTCAATGATGTTGGCATGTTCATGTAGGTTCATGTGCCGGAGCATCATGACCCCCGAGAGAAGCAGAGCTGTTGGGTTTGCCTTGTCCTGTCCGGCTATGTCTGGCGCTGTCCCATGCACCTGAAGAGTTTTTGCAATGTCATTTGGCTTCACTGATGCAAAACTGGACAGATCCATTATCCTTCTAACTTCTTTGATTATATGAATGTCTCTAAAGGATATTACAAGATGTACTAATTACATGATGTTGCATGCACTACTCTGAATGTGTCATGTATATTTGATACACTTCAGCTTCAGTAACCAGCCCAGAAAGAACCTACAAAGCTGCAGGATGCTACAGATGTGAACATGTTATAACAACACAATATGATCATAAAATATGAATAATCCTTAATTCCTCATCTCTTCAAGTATATCTGCTAGGATTTACATGAAATCAAAAGGCAGTGGCACAATGTGCCAAAAGCAATTTAAATAAAGTCCTGATATATGGCTTCAGACAAAGGAATAACGAGTTAAAGGGTTTGCCCCACATGTACAGTGTTTCTTAGTGAGTTTCACAAGTCTTGCTGAATGCTAAGCACTAGTGGCAAAATACTCTGCACCTCTATCAAAATGAATTGTATGCGTTGCATAATCTTTCATAGCCCAGTGCTCTCCACTCCTCCAGTGTCACTTAGAATGTGAAGACCACCTGGCAACCCTGACAGAAATCACATCCAGGACCATTGATACAACAGCTGCAATTTGTTGATATTTTCCATCATTACTAACACTTCTCAAGTGTGGAACTATTTTGCCATTTCCTTATTGGACTTTCCATGGAGTACAGTACTTTAGTGTAATCCATGAATCTGGGCACTTGACATCCATCCATTCTAAAGATTATTGACAGGACATGCATTCCTCTCTCCAAGGGTTATCAAATGGAAGTGTCATTCAGAGCAACACTTGCTCGCTGGGCTGGAGGAGGGAGTATGAAACATTATGCAATGTGTGTTGATTATTTTGAAAGGAGTTCAAAGCAATATGCAGCAGGTATGAAAATCAATGGGAAACACGCTCAACTCACAGATTCAAAGAGTGCTCCTTTCTCCCCTATGTTCCCACTAGGTGTGAGACCCAAACCCCCAATGAGTCCAGCGCAGAGATCAGAGAGGATGTCGCCATAAAGGTTTGGCATCACCAAGATGTCAAACTGTGATGGGTCCTGCACCATTCGAAGGCATACTGTGTCCAGGTAGTGCTCCTGGAACTTGATATTTGGGTATCGAGATGCCACTTCACGGCAGCATTGGAGGAACAGTCCGTCTGACATTCGCCTGCCAGAGAAAGAAATGTTGAAGGGATGATTGCCAGTCTTAGTTTTAGGACAGAATTTAAAATCCTCACATTGCTTAAACATGAATTATCTTGCCAAAATACAACATAGCAATATCATATGATGTAATATCACCTATTCAAAAGGAAGCTTAAAATTTTAGTAGTGTTTTTTCCAAACATACATCTTGTGATTCACATGTTCCATTTTATTACCAAGCTATTTGTTCATTAAAAAAAAACAATAACTGCAATTGTGAATTTCAGAGAGTAAATGTGTCCTGAACCATGGGTTTGGAGAATTCCTCAGTACAACAACCACAGTAAGGTCAGCACATCTTTAAGTGCCTTTTCCTTATTCATCGAATGTGCCACAAAATTGCATTAACAGTTACCACCTCCTCACCTCCAGAACTTATGATTGCCATGATAGGAAGTAGAACCTAACTTTCATTCAACATGCTCTTAAGTCCATCAAGGAATGCATGCAATCTGTTTCATTTATGAAATGAGAGGGCAAAGTTGTATCAGGTGGTCAGCAAAGTGGCCAAAAAATAATCAATCCAAAGGCAGAGAATGAATTATTTCTATTTCATGAACAATGGCTTGTTAGAGAGATTAACAATATTATGCCCCAGGGAGTCATTCAAATTCTCAGTAACATGGTGGCCAATGAGAGTGCCATGTGTCTGATTAACCAATAGTGTAAAATACAGTACAGCAACAAAATTTCATGCTGATTCAATTTCTCAAAACCTTACATTTTGCCCCTTTATTTTTTACAATTTTGTGAATGCTAAATTTGTTTAATCTGGACCAGCTTATACAGTACAGTGTAGCTACAAAGTTTCATGATACTTTGTGACATGTCAAATTAAAAGGAGTACATCATTTTTTGTTTTTATTTTATTTGTATTTGTATTTAAACATATATCATGATCCTTTGGCATGCTTACACATGCAAAGTACATTCAAACTACCCTGTATATGTCCACCATTGCATGTTAACTGACCATCCACATGCTTAACATGTGGCATTCCCATTTTAGAATAATTCATTTGCTTCTTGAATGTTGAACTTCACTTCTACCCCAAAAATATTCCACTCTTCCATGTTTCCAGTGATTAAGTCTTCAGAGTATTCTTTTACCCTAAAAACTTCTGGATTTTCCCATATTGATCTGTGATAAATATGCACCTCAAGCATAATAATTTCATGATGATCAACTCATGAAATGCTTAAATACTGTGGATGAAGGTATACAAACCTATGATCAACTCCATGTCTCCATCTTGGCTGAATGAGGAGGGAATTTAAAGAATTTGAGCTATGTAGCAGCCCAGAAAGGTTTATTCAAATACCTAAGCATTATAGGAGCACCAGTCTGATGGAAAAAAAAGGAGAAATATACCTTTTTGAAAATACCCAAGTTGCCAATAATTTTCTTCTGGATTTTTCAGCACCCAGGAATGATCTCATGAAACTACATATGATATCAGCACCATTATGCAACTCAAATGCAAGAATCCCATTCAGACTTATACAAGTTGGATTAATTCCTCTACACTTAAATTCAGAAAAGATGGTACATACATAAACCATTAACATGTACATAACAACAGAGAAGTCCCTTCAGTATATTTTACACAATCCTCTCAATGACATGGCTCTAATTCCACTCCATGGAAAACATTTCTGAGACACTCCTTGACATGTAGCATTACAAAGGAAAACCTAAACCTTGGCTTTCAGTGATTTAAAAAAGTTGCTTATTCAATTGCAAAAATTAACCTAGAACTGATCATGATTCTACATAAGATTGTGCCATGAGAAAAATTAACAGGCCGCACTTCAGTAAAAGGTGGATGCCAACCACAATGGAAGGAAATTCTTCCAACTTTGAATGGCACGTACAGAGAAAAGTGGTTGAACTCAGTGGTCCTGCCAAACTATCTATAGAGGTTGGAACTGTACCATTAGCAATTGCACACCCATAAATGTATGCTTGATCTCAGTCACAATAGAGACTGGGAGGACTCACATAATATTGGCCTTGTGAACAGCACCCACCATGGTGCGATTGTTCTCTTGTGCATACTTGAATGCAAATTCAGCCACACGACGAGAGGCACCTTCCGTGATGAGCTTGATGCTCTGCACAACACCCTCAACAACCTCGTGTTCAATCCCTGAGTACTCCCCCTCAGTGTTTTCTCGAATGGTGACCACATCCACGTCATCGTACAGTGTCTGGTAACCCTCGATCGACCGACAGGGACGCACATTTGCATATAAGGAAAATTCCCTGTGAAGAATACAAGTATGCCAAACATGCAAATGAATGTACCCAAATGCATATAAAAAGTGCAACAGGGAAAGAAATGTGACATATTCACTTGGCTATGACATGGCACACTTAACAGTCAAATAGGAACTTGTAAGAGAGGCAAAGTGAGCCAAAGGAGCTGAATTTAACTTATGGAATCTGCACATCCAACAATATGTCAAATGGAAGATCATATCTTCCTGTTTGTGAAGGTATTACATATGTATTACTAGCTTATAAAAAAATTGCACATGGAAGTAGAATACATAAAAACATACATAATAACTCAATAATTAGAAACAGGAAAATTTTTTAATTCCATAGATATATAGCTTACATACACTGAAAGTGAAGAAGAATTGGGCCAAATCAAAAATCCTCACTCTCAACAAATGTGCCATGGTGAATGGGAAAATAACAGCAACAGAAGTGCCACTGAGGGATGACAGCATGCTAAGTCATTCAAATGTCACCTTAGAATTAATATAAAAATCCCAATATAAAAATCTTCCCAGTATAAAAATCTATATATCTATGCCATCTAAATTCACAATACTTATACATAACTTAGTAAGTACATTTAACAAACATCCTCAACAATTTTTTGTTACATGTGAAAATTATCCCCATGTTCCATGAAATATACTAGTATTTTAGGATAAAATAAATTGGCTTTAATAGTCTGGGAATTTGAGGCAGGGTCAGAAATAGCTCATCCATAGTGATTACTAAAAAAAAGTGGGAATGGGGGGGGGGCTTACCTTTATCTTATTCTAACATCTGTAATCTACAAAATAATGGAATCAAGAGGTATAAGAATGAACATGTAAATGCTTTCCCTAAAAGCAGGCTCCAGCAGAAGGGAAATATGGCAATCAAGTAATAAAAAGAGGAGAACTTAAATGCACACAGTCTGACCACCAACAGCACCTTCTGAGCAGGTGTAGTGAAACTGCAGCAGTACATTTTTCTTAAAAATGGTACTTGGTGATGTGCTGATCAAATTAGTGCAACTGGGTATGGGCTGGGGAGTAGTCCACATTGCACAAGAGCTCCCCAGTAAAAATGAGAATATTTTAGATGTTACCTTACATGAAACTAGCAATGCTCCAACTCTTCTTGGGGATAATCAACTGCAATGAAATCTGTTCCTCACCCCATTTTTAAATGCACTTCCTTAATTACAGCACAATAATCTTGAAGAAATAACATTTTGGGAGAGGATGGCACATGCAATCATCTAAGCATCACTCAAAGAGTTAGCAAAAGCAGGACTGACAACAGCTAGCAAATTCAAGGCACTGAGATGGCAGCCCATAAATTTTTGCCCAAATCTCTTTTGTTGCGATAGAGCATTCAAACAAATTAGAGATCAACTTGGGGAGCAGTGTATGACTTGTATCTCAAGCCCAATACCTCATGTGTAGCTACTGCTAAACTGCTTGAGCTAGCTCAACGAAGATTTCATACAATTTTAAGGACATACGAAGAATATTGTACCAGATTTTATATGAGATATACCTTCTGGTTTGCACATAAAACATCTTCAAAATTACTTTGAGTATTTTCAAATAGACACTGTAAGCAAGTGAAAAGTCCTTAGTACTTAATTTCTTACTTTCGAAGTGCAAGGTTGAGGGAACGGTGACCCTTGCCAACTGGGGTCATGAGAGGTCCTTTGAGCCCAACTTTATTCTTGTTGACAGACTCGATGACAGATGGAGGAATCCCAAATGTCCCATCTGGCAGTTTCACTGGAGTCACATCCACCGACTCCCACATGATCGGCACCTGAAAGAATCAAGAGTCACCATGTATGTAGTAAATACATTGATCTCACTTCAATTTCAAAAGACACAATGCCTATCCCATACCAAAGCCATAGCCAGGCATTTCATTCTTGGGAGGACAGTTTACTTAAAATTCCAGAATTCCCATTGCCAATCAGTTTAAATACCAGGCAACAAATTAAAAAAGTGGCCATGCAGGCTTAATAGCTTCTTCAGACTATAGTTTGTGGTTTTCTTTCCTTGGAAAATCCTTTCCTATACAGAGAGTAAACAGGTATACACATCACCTCTTATGATCTACCCACCTATATCCACCAACTCTTAGGAATGATGCTAGGAATTTCATCTTACTGTTTTACGACTGAGACAGCAATAGAGAATTTGTTCAACGACAACTAAAAATGCAACCTTAGCAGATTGATGGCAATCATTTCCTCAATGTTATTAAATATTAGCTTTGAAAACATTCAGGCAATGATGAAAATAAGGAGCACTTTCACTTGACTTATCAAAAGTTTACATATAAATGCAAGGAGAAATGGGAGATTTCTCTGCTTAAAAGCTCTGGAGCAGAGTTTACTTTATGTATTAATGCAGGAAACTCACATTAGCTGCCTTGAAAATTTTCTGCACAGCAGCAGAGATTTCAGGCCCAATCCCATCTCCTGGGATCAGAGTGACCATCCTTGTGCCTTCTGGGATGTCCGAACAATACCGGCGGGGGAGACTAGTCCTCACATTCCTGGGTGCTTTACCCAACTGGAACAGATACATAGAATGCATCAGAAGTCAACTTTTCTCTTCTTCAATAATCTTCATATAAATGCTTAGGGCTGCATTGATGAAATGAGAGCCACAGGTTTTGATCACAAATATGGCATCATTTGTAGAGGCCACCAAGATGTTTCTAGGATGACAAATATTCTAATTGGGACCTTAACATGGAGTGCCTCCTTGGCATTCATGTTGGAATGAGTTTTCTTTTGAGAAAGGAGGAGGACACTAATAGCCAAATTTATGCTCAACCCCATGGCATTGTATTTGATGATGAAAAGTCCACTGAGCAACAAAAGCAAACCACCTTTGACCTTTGGTATGAAAACAAAAACTTGTTGGGTTTGATTTTCATGAATTTTACGTAAAGTCTGTACAAAGAAAGAAATTTAGAACCTGAAATTAGAAATGGGCTCAGCAAAACAGGCATCAACTACAACCTTTTTACTTTCATGTCTACATTGCATTACTTATCAGAGAAGTGATTTGAATATGATTCTAACACAATTTTGGATTGCTGCTTGATTCCATTTCAGTTCCTTTTTAATCACTGACTTATCTGTCTCTCTGCTATTCAAGATTAAGAAAATGACTATGAATTAAAACCAATTTCCATCATTAAGTATTTACAAAAACTGAAGCATGAAAGCAATTTCCTTTGAGTTGCTAATCAAGATGTCTCAATGTAGGATGAAAATATTCATCAGACAGCAAGTATAAGCTGCTGCCATTGATATTTTCTCCAATCTGGTAATCCAGGTGAACCCAAAGAATTCTATCATTTGTTTTCTCACCCGTCTGCTTGCCTTCTTTCTTTTTCATTCATTGTTCTTTTATCTTATTTTTTATTTATTTTTTTGTCTTCTTTCCTTCTCCATTCCTTTTTTGTGCTTTCTGCCGCTTGCTTATGTTTATCTTCGTTAACTTGTTGCATTATTTACTTAAATATTCATTTCTTCTTTGAATAATTCCATTTGAAAGATTTCTTCCTTACTTTAATATTACCTAGCCCTATTTGTTTAATTCCTCACAGCTCTCACTTTTCCTGTTCCTTTTGCTTGCCTTCATTTCTGCCTCTGCACACCCTCACATGCATATTCTGCACATACATATTTTTAATTCCTTTTTTTCCTATTCTTATTTTCTCTCCTGCTGCATGTGGAAATGAATTATACATCTCTCATTTTCTACTTCAGAATGCACCAAAGACGTCCATCTCCAACCATGAGCCTCTCAGATCCACTTGTATTCAACTCTGGTCACCATGAGGAAATTAACCTGCTTACATGAATGAAATACCAATTGAAAGGAACAAAAACAGACCCGTACTTCTAGCTTTGGACACCATACAAAAGGTCAATGCTTGCAATAAACTTAAAATATGCGTAAAACCTGACTCTGACATGTGAAGGTGCACCCTCTTTTGCTACCTATTCAAAAACTACTCTCCTACTTACATTGCCGATTGCCGGCACCGTTGCCTATTTTATAACCAGGTTACTCTGGGCTAGACAGACCCGGTGAAAGTAAATATTAGTGTAAGTGTGAGACATCGGTCAACAATTTATGCCGGACTCCAGTTCACTCAATCTTAAATGCACTCATTTAGGGGTACATACATTTGTCAGGTCCGGATTCCATACATCAATACCGGTAATTCAATTCATACATACAGAAAATTTGTAACTCACCAGACTCCTGAATATCCTGGCTGACGCCATGTCTAATTTGGGGAGATGCAGTGTTGTCAAGTTTGGCAGTGTTCCTAGGTGCTTCCGTGGAGTATTCGTTGGATCTGAACTGAGAGGAGAATGGGTTAGCAGTAGAAATAAAGCACTTTCATGCCACCATTGCCAAATTTTTGCTGAGGTTTTTTTGGGAATGAAACATCAAAAATTAATTTCTTGCGACGATGACTTGGGAATATAACTCGCATGTCAACAGGGAATTTCGGGACATCGCCACACCCATCCATTCATATATAGGGCCTTCAAAAATATACTTTCGCATATTTGTTTATAAATGAAAATGGCGCAGTGTAATAAAACCACACAATAAATACGGGGCTAATACCACGCCCGTCCAGAGGCATCGGGGACGGTCTGCCCTGAGCCTCGCGTACCAAGGCGGCCTTCAAGGGGCCTCCAGTTTAGTTTTTCCCCGAGTCTCTGGAAACCTGGTGAAGCAACTGGAAGATTTTCTGCTTGAAATGAAAATGAGGGTCTCGATACCATTCCTTACAAATAATTACGGGCTCGATTGGAGGCGCACGGGATTCGAGGCAGGGTTAGTCACTAGATGAGTTTAATATGTGTAATAACAGAAATACGAGTACACATTTCGCACTACCATGGCTATTTGACTCCTGATAGGGGTACCCGAAGCATAGTTCTCGGAGGAGTTCACGAGCTGAAAGTGGGAAAGAACTTTCCACGGCGCCACGTGCTGAGTGGACTGCGGGGAGGAAGACAGGAGTCGAAAACCTCTCTTCGTTTTCCTCCACTGTCGATTCAGCCGAAGTTTTGCGAATTGGTGACATAAACACTCGGGGTCTCGTCGAAATCGATTGCCACCAACGTTTGCAGACGAGATCTAGATGATTTCTTTGGGAAATTTTGAGGGGAGGAAATATATTATATTGCGAATGCACATAGGACTAGTTCATGTCGCGTCGTTCCGATTTGTTTGTGTTTTTCACACTGCGTGTTTTGCGTTCCTGCCCGGTCGTTAACCGTGCTTCAGTCCGCTAACGAAGCCCCAGACGAGACACGTCAAAGTATTCCGGTGTGGGAAGGTCCTCACGGACAGCACAGCCGGCCAATATACGGGCAGGGTCCTCGACCGCACCACAGCAGCAGTGTGGATCGTCACGGAGACCCCACTTGTAGTCTGTGTCGGCGCAACGGGTCGTATCGCAGCGAAAACGGTTCATGTTAGCCCATATGTGTCGAGGTAGGTCGAACCCAGCAACGCGGTCCTCCGGGTTAGAGATCAGGTCGGAGTTCTTGGGGCTGGCTCTTTCCCCAGGTGGTTGGAGCTGTTCAAAGTTCCTGGACGTAGTGCTGCGTCCAGATGGGACGTCTAGAAGTCAGTCTCGGGGCGGGGGGTTCCAGATGTCATCATGGATCGGTCGTTGGGACATCTGTTTCAGTCGGATTAGTAGCATCCGCAGTGCCTCTTCGCGTCGGATGCTGGGAAGCGGGATGTCGGCAAGAACTGGGAGCCATGCCAGATTGGTAGGTCTCATGCACCCAGTGATCGTCTGCACGGTCTGGTTTAGCCGTGTGTCCATCTGCTTGGCATGTGCAGAGAGCCAAACGGAGACTCTCCGGTCGAGTAACAGAGTGCCGACCCAGAGCTACAGAGTGCCTGGGCATTTGCACCCCACGTAGAGGCAGCCAACTTGCCGAGGAGCGAGGTCAAACTTTTAACTTTCTGTGCAGTCTTTGTCGGGTGGTCTTTAAAGGTGAATGTCCTGTCTAGGGTAACACCCAGGTAAACTGGCTTGGGGTCGAGCCAGTTTCTGCCCATTCATAAAGATGTCGAGTGCATGGGAGCTCTGGCCGTGGTGGAGGTGAAAACAACTCGAGACGGTCTTGCTCATACTTGGTTTTAGCCTCCATTTCTTGCAATAGTCGGCAATCTCAGACGTGATCAGACTTCAAGAGGAAAAGAAGGGGTCGAGGGCTCGATCGCGACAAACGAGCCGGTTCCGCTTCTTCGTGGATTTCAAGTCGTTCTTTGTGGGGACTGGACGGGCCAGAATCGTAAAATGAGAAAAGCCAGCGGAAGTGAGAGTCCCGAGCAGAATCATTCGTTCAAAGGTTGTGTCGTTCGGGTTTCGACCGATTTGGAGCCTCGCGTTCGATTTTGGAGGCCCGTAAACGAATTCGATCGAACGGGGCTCGAGAGGGTCCAGAGGCGTGCAACGAAAAACGATGAAAGAACGACGATGATAAAACGATGAAAACGACGACTTACACGCGAGAAGCGTTTAAAAAACGCTGGGGCTCTCGCTCGAAGGGGGAGGGGGAGGGGGAGGGGGAAGGGGGAAGGGGGAAGGGGAGGGGGGCGGCCTCAGCCTTCAAGATGAAGAGAATGGTCAACGTGGAGCGCGGTCGAGTCTTCCAAATTGAGCAGAACGAGTGGAAACCGGTTCGAGTGAACTTCAAGCGAGACTCGGGTTGCGGTTCTCGTCGGTAGTTGATGCGTGGAACGCGTCACGCGACGACGTAGCGAATCGCTTCAAGAGGCTTCATGCCTTCATGGACAAAAAAAAAAAGGGAGAAACGTAGATGCAAGTGACAAGCCATAGGTGGTTGTGCGAGCACAAAAATGTCTATACTTAGCGAGTGGCAGGTCGATTTAATGGTACGTAAACGCTGGACCTCGACACGGAACGTAATAATGGACGGAAGCGTCTCTTCACGTCATTTTAACGAAATCTTTGGAACCCTACATATCAAATAAAAAATAGAGCTCACTGTGGCTTGCAGGTGATTCTTGATCCCCACCGACGATGGGGAATGCTCCACATCGTATGCTTTCCCTACGAAAAGTAAATTAAATTTGGGGAAACGGAAAATTTCCGTCAAAGAGATTGTATTGTATATATCATGTATATGCATACAATAAATCGAGCCGTAAAATACATTCTCGAGCGGAGAATACGAAGCAGGTACGGTACAGCACTTTCAGAAGTTAGAACGAAGAACCGTAACGTAGACTTTCGTGATTACATGGGTGTGCTTGTATTTACCAAGCACTTATTAGTCCTTTCCTTCCAGGTGGGGGGCTAGGTGGTCGAGCAGACACCAAGTATCGATTGCAAGTTGCCACGCGACGCGGTGGGATTGTAGGGTTCAGTCACTTTGGGTCGTCGGTCGCGCGTGGTATTCACCTGCCTCGTGTGGGAGAAGTAAGAATCGGTCGAAAGCCTGAAAATGCGAATCGTGCAATTTTCCATTCGACATTGTTTGAAAAATCTACTGTGTATCATCGTCGCGGGGGGAGTGCCGTTTTTCGTATTCTCGAGGCAGCTCGCCGCTCCCGAAAAGACTTGCGCATCTGGGTTGCGAAATCGGTGAGTACGAGGCTTGAGTGCGGAAGCGCTGGTTTTCACCTTGCTGACTGGGCTGCGTAAATAGGCGAGGCGGGACCGAGTCGGAGCCGATTTACGAGCTGGCGAAGGCCCACGTGATGGAGCGGCTCAACGGGACGTGTAGGGACGCTGTGGCGAGGTGTTTTCACCTTGCTGACTGGGCTGCGTAAATAGGCGAGGCGGGACCGAGTCGGAGCCGATTTACGAGCTGGCGAAGGCCCACGTGATGGAGCGGCTCAACGGGACGTGTAGGGACGCTGTGGCGAGGGTGGAGGGGAGAGGGGCATGCAAGGAAAGGCGGCCGTTCTTCCTCAAGACGCACAAGACGGGGGGGAGTAGCGTGCAGAACGTCGTGTTTCGACGGGGCTGGATTCGGGGGTGGGACGTCCTGATGCCCCCGGAGGGGTCGTACTTGGGGCATCCGCGGAGCTTCGTTCGTGAGATGGTGGACGGGGACCTCAGGAAGGTGTTCGGGAGGTTCGACGCGTTCGCGTCTCACGCTCGGCTGAACGTGCCGGAGTTCAAGGCGGTCGTGAGGGAAGACGCCGTGTGGTTCACCATCCTGAGAGAGCCGACCCAGCTCTTCGTCAGCCTCTTCGAGTACTATAACCTGCAGAAGTGGTAAGTCGCAGCGGCACGATAGGGCGAATGGATTCGGTGGCCAAATCGGGAGGCGCAAAAAATATTCCTGCAATCGAATTCGAGATTCGGTTTTACGAGGATGTAAGAATTCCTGCACAGGGAGATCCTTAAACGGGCATAAGAAATGAAAGAGGCTTTTTCATACTTGTGGAATGACAGACATTTCCATCGCCTTGTTTGACTAAAGCTTTTCAAAGAGATTCTTCTCGGTCTCCAACAAAAAACAATTAACAAAGACTTTTGGAACTAAGTTTGAGGTTTCTCAACGGTGAATTGACTGTCACTACTGGCAGGATAAAAGAGACTTTGGAGAGCCTCCTCAACATGGACCTGGAAGAGATGAAGCGCAAGACCTCTCGTGAAAACCGCTCGACCCGACACGGCCGCAATCAGATGGCCTTTGACCTTGGACTGTCGCCAGAGTATTTTGACAATGCCAGCGCAGTTGATGCATTCGTCCGAGAACTCAACTCAACCTTTGACCTCATCCTCATCATGGAGAGATTTTCAGAGTCCCTCGTGCTTCTGCGACGAGCCCTCTGCTGGTCTGTTCATGACATGATTGCTTTCCCAATGAATCAACTCTTGAAAGGGAAACCCAAGCCCAAGGTAACTGAGAAGCTGACAGTGCTCAACAGAGCAGATTTTCAAATTTACCACACTTTTCATAGCAAATTTAATGAGGCAGTCTTAGCACTTGGAGATGAGATGCAAGATGAACTCGAAGCTCTTTCCTGTGCAACTGAAGCCTGGAGGGAAGAATGCGGGCTTCAGCGCATTAAGGGGACAGACCTAATCAGGCCAGTACGGCCATATGGTCAAACCTGGGGATACTCAGTTAGTCCAAAGCATCATGAAAGCGAGGAAATCTGCTACCTTTTTGCCACTAGTGAACTCCCATTCCTCAAATTGCTTCATGCTAGGCAAACCATCAGAGCCACAAAAGCAGGGCTGTCTCAATAAAATGTGAGTCAAGCAAGATCCCACCAAAAAGTGCCATCTTCAGAGTAAAAAAATTAATAACCAACTAGGAAGACAACCTCTCACCTTCCAGTGTATTCAATTGAATCCCAACATTTACAATGTGATCATACAAGACAGTTGCAGCTTTTAACATGAGGAAGAATGAGCAAGAAAAATTTAGAACAAAACCAGATTATGAAATGATCAGTGCTTCCAACCCTTGAGACCATGAGTGAATGTGCTTGGTGGAATCATATCCAAGAGATACTGGCGTTGGAGCTCAGCTGCCTGCCGTTGCAGCTCTGCCGTCTGCCGCTGCAGCTCAACGGCTGATGATTTCCCTGCGCCAGCAGCTGAGAACAAAAGAAACCACAATGTCACCTATCAGAAAATGCATTTAGACCAAAGGAACAACATTTACTGTGAAATTTAAGGTATTATGTCCTTTCATCAGTAATGAAAGAAACCATTGGATCCAGATGAATGTACAAACTATGCAATTAAGAGTACGACAAAATTCATATAACAGACACAAAATAAAAATAGGTATATTTCTTTGCATTGGTGAAAGCATGAAAAGTCAAAGAGGAAATTATCCTGGAATCTTATATTGTCATGCAATACTGTAGACCTTGAAATTGGCTACCACTGCAAAAACTGTTCAATAACTTCAGTAAATGCCAATTACAGTAAAACCCCATTGCAACAAAGAGGCTCAGAAAGGTACAAATAACTTTGCCATAATTGGAGTTCTTAGCAAAGAGGATTTACTACATTATAGGGATACAGTCAAGGATACAACATTTTTCTGTCACTAAGAACATTTTGATGGATTCAATTTTTATCTGATAGGATTTTACTGCATTGTGACATTGAGCAAAGCATATCAATCTGAATCACTTACCAGCTAGAGCTGCTAGTTGATATGGATAAAGCAAAGGGTTGAAAGGTGACAGGAGATGAGCAGGGAGTGGTTGATGTGGGGAGTGAGGGATGCTTCTTAATAGTTGCTGGTGTGCCTGAGCAGCAGCAGCCGCATTCAGCATGTGACTGCTGAAGAACTTGGGATCAGAAATCTTGGGCATCTGAGGAACCTGAGGAGGGGGTTTTTCCACCTTAGGAGGTGGAGGTGGTGGAGGGGGTGGAGCAGGTGATGGAGGCATGCATTGGGCTGGGGGTGGAGTAAGGGGGGAGTTACTCCTTGCCATCCTCTGCTCAATTTCCTGCTCCTGCTGAAGGGCCTTGACAAATGCAGACTTGAGACGGTTGGTGTGCTCTGCCTTGAGTGCTTTCTTCACAGTGGTTGTCATGCATTGCTCACACATCACTTGTGGTTCTCCACCTTGAATACAAATTCACAAACAATAGCATAAGCACCCTGATCATCCAGAAGCACATTATACTGAAGTGTAAAGAAAAGTAAAGAGGTGTTATATACCAAGACCAGCTGAATATAATGAAGCTGATTGCTTATGAAGCATGAAACACTGGCCTACAATGCCAACAGAGATGGGGAGAGAATTATATTTGATAGATTGGTAACTTTCTTTGAAGATAATTAAAAAAAATGCTTTCTGATGATCACTGGAGTACAAACAAATTTTACTGCTATCGGAATCCTCAAACTACAACAGTTGCTTTTTGAGTATTTATTATAGACATGTGGAAATACAGAAATAAATAGTTTGGCATGAATTTGTCTTTCATTTCATATCACCTGTCCTTCATGATATTGAGGCTATGGACCAATGATGGCAACTTAAGGGGAGAGGTAGGAATTTACATTGGAGTCCTGTCTTTCATAGACCTGCTGAAATGTTTTTTTTTTTGACACTTTCTTTGTTTAAAATATTGGTTATCAGTCAGATCCTGAAGGCAATAAAGGCAACAAGGTCAATCAGAGCAAAAGCTTATCAGCAAACATAGGGCATTAACCAATGTTATAGCATATGTTTGTATGGAGAAAACCAAAGAAAAGGTTGAATTTCCACTTTAAAAGCTACAAAAAAACCTTTAAGAAAGTTGAATTCCACCTGTCATCTCCCAGAATTACTTCAAAGGTATGCCTAGTTGCTCAAGTTCTCATCATAACATTCTTGCAATAAAGCCCTGGTAACAACTAGCAAAGTGATAAAAAAAAACTAGAACTTGTGACTGTTAAAACCTAAGGAGAAGCCAACGAATAAATTGGAGCAGATGCAAGAAGTCCAACCATTACCCTTACCATATATAAATGTACATGCAAGGAATGATGACACAAGAATGTGGGCTGAATTACTTGATTACTCATCTCCAAATGAAGAAACAGAAACACTGCAGATACAGGGTACATTCTCACAGAATGAGTCCAGTCCAGTCTAGTCTGTTCTTAATAAGTTCAGCCAAAAACATAGAGCCCCACTTCATACTGCATTATGCTAGTACAGTGAAATTACTGGATTTATGTGGAGTGAAGTGGACTCTAAAAAATGCATGTTGAGCAATGAAGCTTAAAAATCATGACTGCAGTAATGATAACTAAACTAGATAAGATTAGACAGGACTGATTTAGTGTGCAGGCACTCTTATGGTACAGGAAAAGATTAGGAGATATCAGGGGGTATAAATAAATGCAAGTCAGATGTAACATTATGAAAGAAAACAATTTCCTCTTGATAACGAGAGCAATATTTTCTCCATGTCTGTCTGAATGGAAATAGAAAACTTGTTGCGAAGATATACAATATTCTTCCAAACAATCTTAAGCCAAGGGTACCTCACTGAACACCAAGTGATTGTATCTCATCATCCTTTCAAACATCTCCTTTCTCTACATCTCTTCCCTTTCTCATTGCAACCAATACAGCAAAACCAATTGGAAAAATAAAAAATGCTATGCTCATGACCACAAATTACAGAAAATACATTAGTTTGCTATGCAAGTCAAAGTCCCAGGTGAAAAGACAAGAGAAAGGACCCACTTTTCTCATTCTTCTCTGATTTCCAAACAGAAGAGAAGTCAGTGGCACACTGTGAGCACCGGAACGGATGATCAGGCCTCTTCAACACTTCCTGACAGTCATGCAGCACATAATCCACCACTGTTTCCAGCCCAACCAGATAAATGAATTCTGTGTTGGCTGCATTTGGAATAAAGTGCATCTCTGGTGGGGGTGGTTTTGGGGGAGGAATCTGTGTTTGTAGCAAAAAAATATATTTTTTTTTTTTAGACACTGATTCCATTATGCACAAAAGAAAGACAGGATTCCACAAAAGGGAACAAACCTGAAGCAGTGTCTTTTCGAGTTGCTTACGCAGAGCAAGCTTGGCAGCAGCTTGTTTCTGTGCAGGATTCTGAGCCTCTTCCTGTCTCATGGAGTTTGAATGGGCTGCCATGGGGGATTGGGAAGTTGTGGTCATTGCTGGACCTGTGTGTGCCTCCCTTGGCACCCGTGTGTCCAGCTTTGGCTCAGGCGGGAATCCCATTACCATGTTAGGTGGTCCACGGCCACCATGAGGACTCAATCCTATGGATAATTTTTTTCTTCTTCATAAGGGACCATAATACACTCGACATACTGAAAATATTGGGTTAGGGAGAGTGTAAATGGGTGGGTGGGTGTGATCAAGTCAACAAATGCAATTCTTGATCAAGATTTGAATTTGGGTGAAAATAGAAAAAATCCATGTCTGACCTTGAACTGATACCATTATAAATATAGCTACTTAGATTTTTGCAATGAACAGTGCCCATTTAAGGAAAGTAAATGAAAACCTCATGCTTTGTAATGCAGCAGAATTCTATTTATGGAAATGAAATAAATCTGGAATATGATTTCTGTGAAAATCTACAAAAATATTACTTCAGTTGGCAACTAAGGGGGAGGATGGCAGTTCTTTCAGAAAAGTGCCACCTAAAAATTTTGCTAACAAAATTAGAGGAATTCATTTAAATAAAATGACAAATTTTCAATAATTACTAAATGTTTCCTTCCATCCAGAGGAGATGAAATCAGGTCAATCCAACATGGATCTCCATATGAAGAGCCTACAAACACCAAAGGCTCAAGACCTTTTTCTAATGCAGAAATACATGGATCTCCACATGTTACCAAAGTGGCTGATGTGCTTTTCCATACCTCCTTAATGTACATGTATCAGACACACTTCAAGACTGATTGGTTAGTGAGGGAGCCCAGACCAAAATACAAGGGAAATTCAGCAAAGGACCTTTTGCATTATGAACCCATGAGAATGTGGGATATTGATTGTTGACATAGAAAGGCATCAAACCAATTTTTTGATCGATTGTGAACACATTTGGACCATTGTCAAAATGAGGATGCATAAAATGGAATGGGATGTCCACCATACCTCGACCATGCAGCCCCTGCTGAGCCATGAAGAGATTTGGAGACAGAGAATGTTGATGGTCTCGAGACCGCTGAGAGTGGGATGTCATGCCGTATGGTGGAGGCGTGTGCAGGGGACTCCCACTTCGGTCCTTAGAAAGCAGATCGTATGGGCTCTTTGCCGGCAAGATCTGAGTCTGTGGGGTGAAAGAATCATGGTATGAAATATGTCCCAAGCATCGACCACATTGCTTTGTTATGCTCTCCATTTCCAAAGATATTTACAAACTATCTCTAGTACATATAACTCCTCAGAACAAGATCGACTTCCCCATAGAAAATATGCAGCAGCTCTAATGGAGAAGTTCTGAAAATCACATTGTAGACACTAAAAGTAAACAATATTTGTTGAAAGTTGAATTATAACATCCAACAGCAGTATTGCAATATACCAATTTCATTATCATAAGAGAAGGAAAGGCATTGGTTCCTTGGAAATTATGGCCTTCTCCATTCTTGATGTAAGGAATAGATTTTATTGCAGGAGAAAGGGCAACTGGCCAATTCAGGTAAACCTTTTTTTTTTCAAGTTTCCCAAATCTATATGCTGCAACAAAAAGTGATCTACAGAGTATATAAATGGTCTGTAATGAGAGGGGGAGAGAGAAAATATGAAATGTTTTTGCTGAATTGATGTTGTGCAGCTTCTAACAAGAGAAGAATAGACCAATTTACATAACCAGGACAATTAAAATCATTTGGCTCTTGGGTTTGCTCCAAGATTGTTTTTTTTTTTTTTTTTTTCCAAGGCCATGTTTAGGGAGATTTTCATAATGTTGTTTACCTAGACATGAATATGAATGAGTTCAATAATGATATACAACAAAGTATCATTACAGAGCTCAATTAATAAGTTACATATTGATAATATGGACAAGAAATTATTAGTCAATAATATTAAGATTTTCTTAAGCTCTAGTTGCAACAATCCAGATATAGGCCTCACTTGCTTTCCATCCTTAGCAAGTGCAGCATGCTCTGGCTCAAAAGCACAAATGTGCATCTTATGTTAACTTAATTTATGGAAGTGGTGGAGAATCTCACTTTGCTAAGAAAATGATAGGAATATTTAAAACCCAGCAAGTAATAAAAGGACTGGCACCAACCCCTTTAGGTAAGGCAGGGGTGACAGTAAGCCCAGAGGGAGCCTTTGGGAGGGAATGCGCCTGTGGGATGCGGGGCACAGAGCCCACCAGTGGCTGCTGTGGCTTCACTGCAGCTCCTCCATGCTTCTCCATGCTTGAAGACAGGAGAGGAACAGCAGTTGCCTCCTTCATTTGCTGTTGTGCTGCCTGCAGCTGATGTTGCCGCAACTTGCGCATCAGCACAAGCTTCATCTCCTCGTTTCGAAGCTCTTCCTTCAGGGTTCGGATAAGCAACTCTCGCTCCTCCATTTCTTTCTCAGTATATTCCTGCAGAAAAGAGATAAATGAAGTTAAATAAGACCTATTCCTGGATAGGTTAGACACATTTTTATAGCAAAGATCAAGTCCAATTTATTGTGTTTCCAACTTATCTTTGCACAAATCCAATACTGTCACAGATTAAGACGGAGATAAGATGTCATGGATGAGAATGTTTTGAGATGGGTTTACCCCATAAGTAACAGATTTACAAGTCAAGATAGAAGGCTCAATTAAGTACAACAGTTCAGTGTCACTGACTGCATCTAAAGAGATTTAGAAAGTGGACTCAATCAGGCCTTCTTAGCAAATGGCAACAGGTTCCATGCACAAGGAAAACTAATGCCAGGGTTGAACTCAGACAATTGAAGTATTGAAGCAGAATATGGATGGAGGTCTTCATTTCAACAGGGTTTCATATCACAATAGTATCAGGATAAAATACTTTAATTTTCTGGGACTATAAATTAGGTTCAGGACATGCATACCTTGACAGGAGGAAGAGGAGGCATTTCTAGACATTCATCGTCGCTGTCCTCATCCACAAAGCGCTCCTCATCTGAGACCATGATGACATCAGGGGTCTCAGCATAATTCTTCTCAGCTCTTGGTCTGAGTGAGCGTCTGGGGGGGTGTTGCCTATCTGATGATATATTTTCCTCCTTAAATCTCATGGGGGAGCCTTTCCCTCTACCTCGACCACGACCACCATGGCTCAGAGTTACCACTGGTGGGCCCATTGGTATTGACACACTCAGATCCTCAGGCCTACTGTCAATATCCATCTCCATCTGATGGAAGAAGCAAGAGGGATCAAGTCCAGTATTGTCGATTCAAGCAGAATATCTATTTGGATGATCCATAGCCATTCCCATATGAAATACAAGGGCTTAAAAAATATTTTTTCCTTATTCAGATGTCATGATATTGTGCTTAAGAAAATCTAATAACCATTAACTGAAAATGCACAATTCTAAGAACTAGATTTCCTCCCAAAAGCAATCCATAATATTTATATGTAACTGCATTTTTCAATAGGTCTGGGTAGAGTCCCATATCATCACTGGATCCCCACTTTTTGCGAGAAAAGAAAGGAAAAAGAAAAACTGTAAGAAATCAAGTACTAATAAAATTAAATGTTGACACCATGGTCAACATGAACTGATTCCATTATCATCAACCAATACCCAAAACCAAAAATATATCATTGCATAACCTATTAAATACTTAATACTGCATTTATTCAAAGTAGTGGTTTTTAAATAAAAAGAAGTGTGGTGGTTTCAAATGAAATGCAAGAGACAGGTCAACAGGATATGGGAATAAATCTGGAATGTAGGAACTGCTTTATTAAAATATATATGCAACATATTGGGCCAATGGAACTTCCTCCATTATAAAAAGGTTCCCCAGTATAAACATGGAAACAAATCATGAGGGTGGTCTCTGGGAAAGTCAACCAAAAACACCTTGACATTTTAAAGCAGGAAAGGTAAGTTAAATTGGCATGCTCAGGTTTCAAAGTTTTGGGGTGGTAAGATTCCTGAATAAAGAAGGAAATAAACACTATACATTAATGTATATGTCACTGGACAACATCTTAGCCTGAGATAATAAAAAAACTTAAGTGAGGAAGGCAATTATAAGCCTATGTGTAGTATGCCAAAATGGAGAAGGCACAGTAGCCTTAGGCTGCTCGTGGTCTTTTCATGCACCTAGTCCAGTTTTCCAAGACTAAATTAGCATTGGTCATGATCCACAAATACACTGGTCACCCAATTCCCTCCTGGAAACAAGCAGGAGTATAATTCCTTCACATAGTGCAGTAGCATGACCAAGTGCAGTGCGACCATTTGAGATTGCAGAAGTAATAAAAAGTTCAAAATGTTGAAGCCAATTGGGTTTGTAACTTTTGCCTTCCTCTTATACAAGATATACCTTATTTCATTCTTCTAGAGCCTTTGTGTGTAAGTTCCAACATCATACACGATGCTGCTTCCTAAGCCCTATCGACACTTGCCACAATATAATAAAAAATTAGAAGCATTATCAGAAATACATACACCATTTATATAAAAATTACAGCCATTTATATGACCTGACCATAAAAATTACATGTCACAGAGCAAAAATTTGTGGGAATCAGCCTGAATCCAATGATTCACTTGAAATCTGACTTTTCTTAAAACAAAGATAAGCCAAGAATCTGCTAAAAAAAAATGATCTTGCTGGCTGATTATTCTAACCATATTTTGATAAATTGCTTTAACATTCATATTCTACTTAGTTCTTCACTAATTCTATTTTGAATGAAAATGCCTCAGAAACTCAGAGGGTAGAAATGGCCTTTCCTGTGTATGTCAAAATGCCCAATCCTGAAACCCATAAAGATAAGGTGATTTTCTTTGTTCAATGGAGGGGCTTTGCAGATATCAGTTTAAAAATGTGTACATAATTTCAGAAAATGTAGGCACTACATCTACTTCTCCAGAATGAGTTCCTAACAGAAGTCTACTTTCAGTATTTTACATGAAATGATATTGGGAAACATTAAGTCACTTGCAAATGCAAAGTATCATTCTCATAACTTTCACTTCCTGGCATACAAAAGATGACCAGCCCATAATGAGGGTGAGAGCTTCTGATTCTTGCATTATTGCTTCAGAATGAAATCCATTCATCAATTCTGAAAACATGAAAATTTATATTTCACTTGTCATTCTAGTTCCATTAACATGGAGGAACTGACATCAGAACCTTTTTTTGGTGGTGACATTTTCGCAGAATGAGGAATACGTTTTAGGCTTTACTATAGATCCACAATATTTCATCTTCCATGATGGAAAAGGATATAATATGAAATTCCATCTATTTAAATTTGGTTTCCTGCCCATCCTAATGTGCCCTTGAAGCCTGCCAGGTAAAATTTAAATGTCCTTTTATCTATTTAGGCTTAGAAGCAATGTCACCATGGGCAAAGAAACTCAGGCCTAACTTATTGGCCTAACATAAAAAATATTTGAATGGAAGTATGGAACAAAATTTACCAAGGGCAAGACAGATGGCACAGCACTATCCTTCAACTTCCATTTACCTCGCTCAATTCGAACAAGTTCATTGTTCACCCGATGTTCAAAATGCTTTTCAAAGCATGCCTCAGAAAAATGCAGATCACAAATTGAATCCTTCCTTGTTAGGATTCTGTCTTTCCTTGAAATGGCTCTTGTCCATGACTCCAGTTGTGCTTCAGAGGGTGTGAAAAAATGTCTTCTCTCCTTTGACACTTCTTCAGATTTTTGAGAAGAATCATAGCCACTTTTGCACCCAGGCACAAAGCACTTTCTTCCCATTTTCACTCAAAAAGCTATAGCCTGGTCTAGGCTATATTGTCATGCCCACATATGAGCATCTTCAAGGCAGGAAGCCAATGCAAGCCCACTCACTACATGAGGTAATGGCATTTTTACATGGGCAGCAGGGATTTGGGTGACCAGTCAATTTATGTCTATAATAGGTCTACAAAGGTTCCATCCATGAACCTTTGCAATCATCACAGCTTTGAATAGTAACCAGTAAGTAATTTTGAATGCTGGAGTAAGTAAGAAAGGCAAGAGCTGTACTCACTATGTTTAACATAGATCAAAAGATGTGGTAGTGGCTTAATGAATTCAAAGCAAAAAAAAATAACCTTCTCCCATACAAATTCCAACTTTCTCATTAATTATTCCTGTTTTTTCCTGGGTTTCTGACTTCGCTGGAGTTTACCCATTATCATAAAATGCTTTAGAAATATGAAAATATATGGATGTGGAGCATGCTGTTTTTTTAAATTCCTACAACTGAAGTTTAGGTTAGAGCCAGACAATTTGAGTAATAGGCAAGTAGTGAGAATTCAAATACAAAGGCTGATCCCTCTCTTCCCTGTATTCATGTGAACTCTGTCAACTCAACGTACCAGGTACTTCTCAAGCAAAAGCAATATTGAAAATTAAAATAACGAAATAAGCAAAATTACAGTTAATTAAAGTTTAGTGCAAATCATTATGCATTTTGGACTATCTATGACTGAGTGCAAATTAGAAGCATAGGATATAAAAGGAGGCTAGTTAGAATTAGGAAATCAATAAGATGCCAAAAGAATTACTTGACCGATTAGGAATGGAATGAGACACAAATGGACTTCAACTACCTCACACGCTTCCCTTTTGGTGGTGTTTTGAACAGAGCTAAAATGAGCAAATCACCTGCTGTAAACTACTGCATCGATATGAACAATAGATTTGCTTACAATGTTCCTTCAGTTTTCTTACCACAATCACATACCTTTAGGAGCCACTTGGGTCTGGACAAGTGATGAAAGTAAGAAAGCATATGGGAGGGAGGAATTTCCCCCAAAGTTTCATTCTGTACATACTCCCTTCAATATTTAAGAAATAACACCATAAATGCCAATAATGTTCAATGTTGTAATAATAGCCATTCTTCATGTCCTTGTGAGTGAGAAATGGTTGAAATGGCACCATTTCCACAGTTATGTAGCTGATACACCATGGAACCCAAAGTGCAAGTTACAACTCCATGCACAGGCACAGGATATGACTGTTGTATTCAACTTTCCATACATCTAGCATGCTTTCTTCAAGTCCATCATCTGATTTCCTTTGTGTTGCTTTTGATACTCCCACCCAGCATGGTGACATGTCTGAATTTCCTTTTTTCAATTTTCCTTATAGCCACACTTGATGTGGAAAAGTTTTAGTAGCTCCAGGAGTGCAAGGCATTTAGAAATATGTTCCCAAGTATGAGACATAGAACACATTTGGATTGCATTGCTTCTAAGCTCTTGGAATTGTTCCTCCCTTTTTGCAATATTATGTATCAATTACACTTTTCATATTAGCCAATGTAGGTACAAAGAAAGTTTGCATGATGAATCTACCAATAAAAATAATGTTTGTGTAAAAAACTGACATCTACTTGCACCTACCAAGCTACTATCAAGCATCATATCTGAGAGGAGTGTCATGATTTTATCCCGCTAGAAAGGAATTAAGGCATGCAGACATGTCACATACTCTTATAGAGCCCTCCCCCATATTGGATGTTCTTCCCTCACACAACCTCACCCATTAAATATTAATACAATGCTTCCTTTAGCAGCCAAGATGCATTACTGGTCCTCTCTCAGGCTACCCATTATTATCCTATCCTAATGTGGCTCTTTTATCCCTTTTTGTTTTGAATGAATAGCACTTAAAATTCAAAATTTTGCCAATAGTGATTTTGAAGAGTAGGTCCTTCAGGTCAGTGAACCGCATTCACTATCCAGGCTCATGATTTCTTCAACAGCAACCATTTGCAGCATGACATCATGCAAACCCAAAGAAACAGTGACAAGACATGGATGAAATGCAGTTATGACATATGATATTTGCATTCACAAATCAGCAATGGTCCTTTTGAATGTGGCTCCACCGCCCATTTATCTAATTATGACAGCGAGCGATTGCAAAGGAATCTAGTTCCAGGTGATTTGGATTAGATTATGCCTCACCACAGTGATATTGTAATGGCATATAACCACTAATTTAAATCCTACGATTTATTGCGCACCTGAATACCATTGGATTTCATTTAGGCTTGCAGTACTCTTTCTGTAATGCTGGATCATATACACGATGGGTCAAGTTAAGTTCTGCTTCAAGGACTGGATGATGGATAGGAAGGTGCTGGTAATAATGGCCTATGCTTATCACGGAGCAAATGAAGCAAACACGTAGGCAACGTTCTACCAAGCCCTTTAAGGGAATATAATCACCCAGGTTTGAGAATACGGATGATAGGCTTATGTTGCTAATACGGAGCGCTGATAGCGCCAAAGATATGCGGCATTACGAAAGCCAAAAACATCCGCACATCGTAAAGAAGACTTCATAACCTAACTTCATCTCATTGGAAATATTCCCTCGCCTCTGCACACTTAGAAACATCGTGAAGAATGTCAACGGCGGTACAAGTTCATTTGCGATTCGATGCAAGGAAAAAAAACTACAACCTGGCCAAGCGCCTCAAACATCTGCCATGTTGTGACACGTACGATACCCGTGACATCTGGACTATGCTTATAAACCAGTTTCCATTCTCCTTCCACAGAGGTCTCCGCTCCACTGGCATTGGATACCTCATTTACGCCGGTGTCATCAATTGTAGCAGATTCCTGGCTGGATAACTCGCCTTTCTGGGTGTACCCATAAACTTGTTGCAGCATTAGCCTTTGGGTCGCGCATTTGCAAATGTCTGTTGAAGGACTGCCGGTTTTGGTTCACGAGAAGGTGTGGACCAATAGAGCTAAATATGAAGATGCGGAGATGAAGTACTACGAAATGCTTGCGAAACAGGTGAGATTTGGCTTCTGGATATCGGAGCTGGTCCTATCTGGGACCGTATTGAGATATCCGTTCTGTGAGTGGTCGTGTAGGCCTAGGTGTATGCGTAATTCGGCCTAAAGACCCTATGTTCGAATTTTGAATTTGACTCCTGTTTATTATACCCCAAGGCCTGTATACTATTTCTGGCTTCATCAGTCCGTGGGACATCTGCATGGGTGGGTGGCTCCATATATAAGGATAAAAAATTCATTGGATCTGAGTTCGTGGAAACAAGGTTTAAAAATGAATGGGTTGTTTACCTTATTTTCACAAGACTCATGGATGGAGATCAGTGACATGGCATATTGCTTATGCCTGTTCTAAAGCCTTATGCAAGGTATTTGTAGAATGTGATGGAATCTGCATAATTTAAGTAAGACTTCAAATTTGTGTAAATTAAAGGCTGCTCAATCATTTGCAGGACTGGAAAGTAGGGATGAGGTTCCTTATTGCCTTATGAAATGGGATAGACTGTATCCTTGCAGTTGAATTAAGAGGGACTAGCACAAAGGAGGCAAAAGTGAAACCTAATGATTAGCTGTATGTCCAACAATTTGTCTGAGTTCCGTTCTATTAAAGCTGTACGTGTAATTGAGGAGTTCTCTAGAAAAAGGGCTTATGTGCAAAAGATGCAACTCAAGATAAACGATAAAAACTTCCCATGACTAATCAGAAGCTGGTCAGAACCTAATTATCAGTAAAATGGTATCTGAGAGCTTTTCATAATTTAACTTGGGGGTTATAAAGAATTTCTTTATCTCACATTGCTGGGATGCAGGCAGAAAGTGTTTATGCACATACACCCTTTTTCCATATCCACGCTGCTGAAACTTTTTTCTACAAGTCTTTCACCACTTCTTTCTAGTTAAAAATAATAATTAATCAATAAATGCATATACAGATTTCAAATAAACTCTTTCTTCAAGAAGAGCAATGAAAATGTGAATAGTCAGGACACGTTTCATTCACAAATTACTCAGCAGTGATCCATTAATAATATATTCAACATCTGAAACTTCAACTATTTCATGGATATCTCCAACTTCTCACATCCTTCCAGAGGCTTGATTGACTCCACGATGAAGTAATTCCACCCAATTCGTTCAGCATGCAAGTGATAATGGAATATTCATGGAGGCAGCCATATTGAAATTGCCAGGAAGTTGGCCTGCTATTTAGTGAGAACATAGGAAAATCTGCTTCTCCTTTGCTGAATATGCATCTTAACTACTTGCTGACCACCCTATCCTATGAATAGTCAAACCTAAAGTAGTACACGGATACGGAAAAAGGGCATATGGGCACATATGCCCCTTTTCCAGAGAACTCCTCAATTGCTGGAAACTTCCCTTTGTGTTTCATAACCACTTCTGGAACATCATAGGCAGAAAGCATACAAGTTTGTTAAGTTTTCTCCTTATGACAGATTTCTATGTTACCAGTCTTTGATCATGGAAAGTGTCCAACCAAGTAATTTTGGACAACCCCCCAGTGTCTGTCAGGCTGATGAAGCCTCCCCTTTCTTTCTTTTGTGGTCATTTCAAATCATTATTTTTTCCATTTAGGCGATTTTTAACTTGATGTGAAATTGCAACATTGCCCCTCTGTAGGACTTAATATCCAATAGTGCAAACCCAGGCCTATTGTCATGCTTTGTGGAAGGATGTATATACTAGCTCTGCAGCCATGAAGCAGTTCCTTATAGGATCCAGAACACCTGGGCAGTTTTAAACTTTGGCAATGAAATTCAAATGCTCTCTGTCTAGAGAGTTTCAAGAGCAGTTTTTTTTCTAATGAAGTAAGGACTGTAACAGAACCAAATGGAGTTGCAAGAAAATTTAAGCTTCTTGTGCCATGTGCTTCAATGGATAAGAAAGATTTATATGTTCAGATGACATTGAATTAACATAATAGAGAAACCTTGTTGGTTTTTCATAAAACTTGGTAGAAATTTTGGTATCTTATATTTTCTTCATGGGAAAGCCTAGGTTTTCTTGGGTTCCATCAAACCTAATCAAGCTTAGTTCTTTTTATGCCTTTCTGTGTCTTCCAGAGATCTGGATCTTCCATGGGAAGCCTCGCCTCTGAAATTGCTAAGGCAAGGGAGAGCCTTCAGCAGAGCTTGACCCTGGTAAATTGAGATTCAATGATTTTTTAAATTTTATTTTGCCCACTTGGCCTCTTAGTCAAGTGAGTACTTGCTAAATGTCCCTTGAAGCATAAAGTGAATGCTGTTTGATTTCCTTTCCCTTGCAATGGACCTAACATCTATTTCACTTGGGTCTCAGGAGTTTTCATTAAATTTTTGGCCTAAATATTAAATTGTTTTATGCTGAAGATATCCCATCAGAGGATAGTTGGTTGAATCTGGAATATGCATCAGATAAATTTGAATAGTATCTCTCTTAATAACTAGGCAATAATTTCAATTATACCTGTTAAGAGAATTTATCTTCAGAGGAGGAGGGAGGTCTTGATTATTGATAAGGAAGTCAATGGAATTATGGGTATCTTTCTCTGTGCCTCTCATGCTTTGGAAAACCTGGAAGACTCAGCTTCCTGCTGTATTGTTAGTCCTGAGTTGAAGAATACATATGGTATGAAAATTTAAAAATGTTTGAAGGATTATAAAAAAAAAGAAAAAAAGAAGAAAGATGGACTGATACTTTGCACAAAGCATGTTTGTCTGGGTTTCAGGCTTCCAAAGCTGAAGGGAAGTGGTAAGCCAAAGCCTGAAACTCTCTTAGGGCAATCTTTTTTTTTTTCCTTTATAATACTTTGAGAAAGTGATGGCCCTCTCTCTTCTCAGGCATGCCTTATTGGAATTTCAAAAACTTCCGTAAGAGCTATCACTCTCCCATCTACGTGTGCATACCATTTTTGACGACAATTTTGCTTATACATACTTTTTCTGTGGACCTACAGGCAGACACCAGGGCAGCTCAGTTCAGCAAAGAGGCTGAAGATCGCATTGGAAAGCTGGAAAACAGTAGGAAAATCTTATCCTCTGCCTTTTGTAAAGAAAGTCAGTTTAGGCCTATGAATTAAGAAAAGGATGTTGATAGCTGTCCAGCTCCTGATGAAGCGTGTGGGTGAACTGGAGGCACAATTGGCAAAAGTGAGCATTTCAGGTATAGCGACAAGTACTGTTAGCACCCAGAGCACATCAGAGGGAGGAAAGAAAGAGGAAGAGGAGGATGACATCGATCTCTTTGGATCTGATGATGAGGTTGACCAGTCACACTTTTACCAGACTGTGTTTTCATATAGATTTTTCTATGTGTGGATTTACTCACTTTGTTTTATTTCTATTAGGAGGATGCAGAAGCTGAACGCATCAAGGAGGAACGTTTAGCTGCATATGCTGCAAAGAAATCCAAAAGTAAGCCTATGTTTTTAAAAATTGTTTTGTTGGCTTGTTGGTAGTGCAGATATTTAGTTGGCTTGTATTGTTGATTGGAAATTTTCACCTGTATATGCTTGCACTGTGTATCTTTTCATTCAATGTTAACCCTTGCTGCTATAGGCGACTTCAGTCACCTGCAGCTCTATCACCTCTTCAAAACTTAGGCAGTGATAGAGTTAAAATGCTCTTACTTGACTTGTTGGACACTGTCACCCACAGAAAAATTTTGAAATGCTAAATCGACAGTTTGAATGTTTTTCAAAGTATGAAACATCTAGTGCTTCCTTTCAGCCTTTGCTCAATGGACAATTCATGAGTCATGGTATTAACTTTGTTAATGTGCACAGAGCCTGCCCTTATTGCCAAGTCAAATGTGATCCTGGATGTGAAGCCTTGGGATGATGAGACAGACATGGCCGAGATGGAGAAGCAGGTGCGAAGCATCCAATGTGATGGCCTTCTTTGGGGTGCTGGTAAGTATATAGCACTATAGGATTTCAGGAACGCGCTTCAATTTTACCAATGACTTGAAATTGATTCTACCCCAGCCAAACTGGTTCCACTTGCTTATGGGATCAAGAAGCTACAGATTTCCAGTGTTGTTGAGGATGATAAGGTTTCTGTTGATTGGCTTTGCTTCAATTTTACCAATGACTTGAAATTGATTCTACCCCAGCCAAACTGGTTCCACTTGCTTATGGGATCAAGAAGCTACAGATTTCCAGTGTTGTTGAGGATGATAAGGTTTCCGTTGATTGGCTCCAGGAACAGATTGAAGCCTTTGAGGAACTGGTTTGTAAATTCTGCAAATTCATTTTCATTTCCAGAGTGAGAGAGTGATTCTTTATTGCTAATGCTTGTTTTTTTTTGTGGTTTTTCAGGTCCAGAGTGTGGACATAGCTGCATTTAATAAAATATGAAGACAGCCTGGTTAAGAATTGAAGAATAAATTTGATTTTCCCATTTGGAGATGAAATGTGTCTAATTTATTTTCATAATTATGTTTTCAGCAATTATTTCAAGTACCTTCTCGCCATTGAAAAATGCAGTAGAGAATGGCCAAGGGTTTGATATGACTTCAATGTACCAGGGAATTGACACGGTTCTCAGAAACTTTACTAGCATCCGTAAGAAACGTTTTAATGTAATTTAGGGCTTGCTCACAAAGTAAGAGTTGCGATGGCATCATACGAGGTGCAGTCAAAAAGTTTCTGCAAACATTTTCTGGAAAAGAGACCATTAGACTTATTTAAGAGAAAATTAGTACGCAGAGCGGCAACACATTGTCCTCGATACAGCCTCCGCGTGATTCGATGCATTTCCTCCACCTGGCAAATATTGCATGGATGCCATTGAGTTATGAGTCAGTTTCCTGTTCATGCAGCCACTTCTCGTAACACACAATATCCCCATGCACAAGCATAGCGTGTAGGGAAAAGTTTGGGGGGGGGGCACGAGAGCTCGGATACTGTTCTCGTGCATTTCTGGGTCTTCTTTTTTTGTATTCTTTTCTTCTATTTAGCATGACGGATCCACGAATGTAAAATGTGGAATTTAAGTGCCCTAAGACAGATTTTTGCCGCTTGAACTAGGAAGTAAAAACCGAAGCATAGCGGGAGGAACGCTTCATGCAAAGATACGACAAGTTCCAAAAATGCATCAATTTCTTCGAAAGTATTAAAACCAAGTTTACAGCCGATTCAACGAGAAAGCGGGAAACGTCTCCATCTCACTCCAACAGCGAATACTAGGTGATAAATGATTCATATTGACATTAAGATAATTTCACAATATGAATACCTTTCGATAAAGTATCACTTAAGATCTATGTCGTGTGAACCAGGAAGATGAAACCGTCAGAATTTTATTCTGTAATCGAATCATAATAGCATAGGCACTTCAAGTCGACAATACGAGAATTATTGAAGATGTTTAATGCATTCAAAATAGCTGAGTACGGCTCCATTTCACTCCGATATGGAATACTGGTAAGATTCGAAGCTTCATATTAACAATACGACAATTTCTAAAATGCATCACTGACGCCATCATTTTAGCCGTATGACCCAAGAGGCTGAAACGCACCCATCTCACACCGATATCAAGTACGGTCGAACTCGGTTATGGTGGAATCTCGGTTGTAGCGAAGAAAACGCCAGTTCCCAGCGTAGAGCCCACAGGGCACGTGCAATTTTGCCTCGGTTATACCGAACTTGGGCATAGCGAGAACCTCGGTCGTGACGAAATCCGTTCGAGGTCCCACTGACGAAATCGAGAACGTTCGCGTCCCTGATCCCTCGTTCTTTCGGAGTCGTGTGGGTGTGACTGGAGGAGGGTGAGGGTTGGACGATCCCCACTCACCGAAAAGATGATCTCGTCCTCGGTCCCCGTTTGCATTCCTCGTCGACGACGTGACCGGTGAAAAGCGGAAGAGGCAAGCCTTCGCGATCGAAAAGAAATTTGGCGAAGCGAAGCCGACGTCGCACGCGAACGCGGACATCCGTTCGTTCGTTTCCGCGAGTTGGGAAAATTTGACGGCTTCGTCCGTGCTCGAGAGAAGAACGCGTCGTAAAGCGAGAGACTTCGTCGATCCGTCGAGACGACGTCGACGAGGCCTCGCTAAAGTGGTTCGAGGTCCAAAGAAGTCGCGAACACGATGATCGGGTCGATGCTGACGCTGATATTTGTGCGGCACGACCGACCTTCATTGGAGTCGCATCGTTATACAGGGCGAGTCGAGTCACTCGACGACTTTCAACAACTATGACTCGGCAAGGAAGGCATTCATTTCAAAATGTTTTTTTTTTTGCATAAGAAAGGGCGTGCAATAATATAGTCATATGCAACGTACGTAAAAATGACTGTAATTACTGGCTACGATATCGAGCACCACGAAGCTCGATGACGCTCGCCGTCACCGAAAGGCAACTCCAGCAATCTCTCCGGCGATGCGTTGCTTCGCTTCGACGATCGTACACGAATTTTCGGGCTATATCTGGTCCTTAAACGAAACCTCGCAGTCGGAAATGGAGTGGAGCCGAGTCCGGCGACCTGGGAGACCCGACCCGGCAGATCGACCCGTCTTCGAAGCAAAACGACTCTTCGCTTCGGAAGGATTTCCTTCACGCGTAAATAATAAGTTAACGACGGCGGCGCGTTCCTCCGAAGAAAGTTTATCGGCATCATCAGAAAACCATTCGGAGGGTCAAAATTTAAAAGAAAATAATGGTGAATGGGGCGTCCGTTGTACCGAATCGAAAGGATACAGCGCAGCGTTTACGAGAAATTCCAGGAGGATACGGTGACGGGACGCTAAGAGATGATTTTTTGCAAGAAAGGGTTAGCGTCCGAGTCGTCACGAGGCCAATGAGACGAGCGTTGCGTACAGGCTTCATTCGAGCGGATGATGATCTCGAGTGTCCAAAACTCCACATGTGACTCGATTTTCTCGTCGGTAAAACGAGCTGGGAATCTGGAGTCCAGACGGGGTGAATGCAACGGGATGGGCAGGTGGACGTCCGAGCTAAAAACGGGCAGCGGGTACCGAAGTACCGAAGTGGAGTACTGCAGTGAGTACGTCACGAGGCGAGCGATGCGAGCGATGGTCGCGATGGTCGCGATGGTCGCTTCGGGATCGAAGCCCGAAGAGGATTTGGCTCGACCGCGTGCCATCGGCGCCGTCCTTCCTTCGACTCTGGGGACTCGTGCCGATTCCGGAATGAGAGTTTCGTTCGTCCAAAAATGGAGCCGAGTGCAACGTCGGCCGCTGCTTCTTTCTTCGACGGATGCCTCGAAGACCCTTTCCTCGCGATGGGTTTCGTCGCCGCCGATCGAGCCAGAGATCGTCGACTCGTCGTCGTGTGGAGTCCAACTGAGAGGTTTAGATGAAAAATTCCCGTGTTTCACGCATTTCGACGGAGGGTTTTCGCCCTACGTCAGGAGCATCCTCTGCGTGGTAGACAAAAGTGCGAAAAAAACGTAATTTCTCACAGAGAATGCTAAGTCGACGTGAAGAACGCGAGCGAGTGAAGAACGCGAGCGAGGGAACGCGGAGGCTTTCCACATCGATACCGACGTCGGTACGAAATCCCCCGACGGAGGCGATTCGACGACGCCCTACTTGCGACGTCGCGATCGTCGAGCGAATCGATTCGGCGGAAGGCGATCCCCAGGTGCCGGTCCCTCGCGGTCGTGGAGATCCCCGTCTGGATCCGGAGGGAGACGTGCGGGTCCCGGTCGGGTCCGGTTGGGTCCGGTTGGGTCCCGGTCGGGTCCGGTTCCTTCGGTTCGGGGCGAGTCCCGAGTTCCATCCCAAGAATTCCGAATCTTCATCTGTCTGCGAAGAGCATCCTCTCGCTGTAAACTAAAAAAAAATATCGTAAGTAAGGTTCTCGATGCGATCCCGAGGATGGTTCCGAAGTAACGTAGGGAGAGAGAGGAGGAAAGGGGGGAGCAAGGAACTCTTTTAGAAGTGTCCATAGAATAAGGTCCGAATGCATCGTTTAGGGATATAAAGGGGTCTTTACGCAGAAGACCTCTTTTTCTCCCATGAGAGGCCACGTATCCTTAAAGGACCGCATCCGCACAAAATTGCATATTTACGAGCCGAGGCGATATTCCGGTCGAAGAACGATTAAAATCCATGAATTCCGCACCAAAAGCTAATTCCCGAACGAGGACGTAGGAACCGGGGGGGCACGGGTGGCGAACGGCCCCTCACCTTTCCAGACGGGGGGCAAAGGGAATCTTTTGCCTTCCCACTTTTTAAACCGAAGAGTGATGCGTACGACCTGATGTGTCGACTGGGAAGTTGCGATTCGAGATACTTCGTGACGTTCGGTAGGGTTTCGAAACTAAATTTAGCTCGAAGCGAGGTGAATGCCCGAGGAAATCTTGTCGCGGTGGAGCACACTCGATGGGCGCTCGATGGCAGTTCCTTTTCGTCGCAGGTTCAACGTCTCCCGTCCGATCGGTCGTCTCCCTTCTCTAAGGTCTTTCCCCGAAAAGAAGGGAGCTTCTGAATCGGTCGTGAGTCTGGCTTCAAACGTTTTAACGGTCGAATGGAGGTTCGGTGTCGTGTTACGGAAGAGAAATCTTCAAACCGGAGCGCTTTTTCATTTCGTTACGAAACCGAAGCAGGCAAAATATGAAGAAAATTCGGGAATGGAAAACTTAAACGGTACTGCGTTATCGGTTTCCCTACGGACAAGATCGCACGAAAACCCGTGCATCTTAGTGAAAGCGGTCCTTTCGGCAGCAAAAATTAAATTCCCCTAGAAAAAGTGGCAGGACATTCCATGCAAAGCACTTTGATGTGTGACCGTGGATCTCATACTTGCCCGCGAAATACGCGGTTTTTTGCAACGCCGGCCACTCGTGGTCACTTGCCACTCGGGGTGAGTTTACCCTACACTCTTAGAATAGAGTGCGCGATATCCTCCGAAGGGAGCGAAACTGGAGTGAGCGGTTACTACTCCCTAAAAAGGAGGAAATGCAGCCGCTCGCCTCTCTCTTTCCCGAGAACAACCAGTACCTTTTTCCACTAGTTTGAAAAGTACTCTCCCTCCTTCGTTTCGCGCTCTTAAAAAATGTGTGAATTTTGCTCTCATAAAGGAGTAATTATCGATTGCACTTCCTCGTTTATAGGGAGTCAAACCGCTCACTCCAGTTTCGTTCCCTTTGGAGGATATCGCTCACGTTTTTCTTTGTACATCATTTCCCACGTGAAAGGATCTGGAACCATGGCATGCCTCCACGGCGTCGCTCACCTCAGAGCTCTCGGCCTCCACGATCGTGCGGAGTCCAAAGGCGGTTCGCCACCGCTGCTACGACCTCCTCCGATTCCTCGCGTCGTTTCCAACGTCTCGAAGCTCGCTCTCGACAGCTGCCATCTGGAGCTCGAGACGTGCAGCAACATCCAGCAGTCGCGAGGTTCTCCATCTCGGGATTCGATCTCCAGGAGGAGATGAATTTGAGGAAAAAAATATTTCTCCACCCCAAGAATTTCATGCATAATTTATTTATTTATTTAAGGCAGACTCTCCAATCCCAAGAGTTCTCCGTGGGCACGTGTCGCATTTCGGTCTTCCACGATGATGACTTTCGCTTCGGCCACGTTTGCTTCT